AATAAATGAGATGGGCTGTGATGTTATGTTTTTCATTCGCTGTTGCTTGTTATTAGAAATGCTTAGCATCTGAAAAGAGAGTGATAGAGAGTATTGTGTGAATAAGACTAACACGCTTTTTTTACCAAAACCACAAATGGTATGTTCTCTTGACTTGTCCGGTATTACAGCTTCTTTGATCCCTTTATGATTGCATCGATTTGCTGTCCTCATTTTCAGTTACACATCTGCCCGCTCTCATGCTTTGAGTGCAATTGAAGCACAAATATCATCAAAATTATTTTAAATGCTAAATTGGCATGCAACGAAATTGACTTTTACCTAACCTGATCCCTGGCTTGTTCCCCTTGATAGATTGCTTAGTTGCAGAAATCAAGAATATATTGCTTGTTGTCCAGAATTGCTATAAGAGACCAGTCAGTAGCACAAAGTTTAACATGCTATTTGGTGGTCACATGGAAGGAGCAAAAAAAAAAAAACATGGTTAACTGGTTAGAGCACGTGCAATTTCAGCTTAAGTGTGTACGGCTGCCTTCATACTGACAACATTTGAAAGCTGCCGTTGTCGTCATTTTCAGCTTTTATAGGTGACGACTAACTTTGTCATGTCGCTCTCATGTCGTTTGTGGCTTTGTCTACCAATTCGCCTTCGTCGTCACACTTCATGATCTAACATTTGAATGGAGAGATCCTTTATTTTGTCTTACTGCTGTTTTGTTTCTCTTTTTTACGCAGTCAAGCTCGAATGAGCTAACTTAGGACATTGTTGGGCTCGAAGATGAACCAAGTCTATGAGATGATTTTTCTTTTTGACAGTCAGCGAAGTCCACGGTGATTCCGAAAGTAGTCAAAAAGCTCCTGAAGATGCTCAAGTCATCAATGGGGATGCTGATCTTGGATTTTATATAATGAAATCCAGCAGTATTGCCTTCTGGTCTCTCTGTTAGCAAAATGGAAGCTTTGTGCTAGTTATTGACTTTGTTTTAACAACTAGACTGCAATGAACAGAGGTGGGTGGCTTGCTGAAGCTGCATAATGCAATGTTTTGAAGAAAAAAACGTGCGTTTATTGAAAGGGGTACTAACACCAATTCTAAAAGCTGACTTAATTCTGCCAGACAAATATCCTTTATATGGACATGACTATGAGCTAGTGTGAAACATGAAATAGGCGGAGAATATTAACTTACCTTGGTGCACGTTGTGATGTTGACCCGATAGTGTGGTTCTCGTGGCCCCGTGCACCAGTATGGGCGGTGTTGATGATGTCAGAGACAAAACAAAATGGCTGCTTGTACGTCACCAACAGAGCCAACCGTAAAAGTGTGTCAATATCTTGAGCTTGGGTGAGGATGTGATGAAAAGCTTGTATCATGTCGTGGTGTAAGGGTACAGTAGGAACTGATACTAATGTGTACATAAATTTTTAAGGTGCACTGGTACTTACTAGTGCACTATCTCGGGCCCTTGAAGGCTTTGCTTTGCATTTGAAGCTGAAAAAAGCAACTAGTAATTTTTGCATCATTACCTTTAAATACAGATTTCGCAAAATCTAAGCCATTTATTTGTGCTACTTTTAAACTTTTTGCAAGGTTTGAAGCCCCGTATAAGTGGATAAAGTTTATAAAAATATTTGTAATCTGCATCACCTGTCAACACTGCAGTCAGTAGGACCTTGCACTCATGGAAGTTAAATCTTCCCGTACAGAAAGAAACTAATACATTTTTACAATAATTGTTTGGCTCTTCGCATCGTGTAATGCACTGCACTGGTGAACACCATATAAATTGCTGTCATTGGACCTAGGATGCCATGTAAAATTGCCCCTCACGCATATAAACACATGTTTGTTTGCAGTGCAACAGACATACACACGAGCTTGGTACTATATACTGCTTTCTATTGTAGGCCCGAGTGCTCAGATTTGGGTGCACGTTAAATAACCCCAGGTGGTCGAAATTTCCGGAGCCCTCCACTACGGCGTCTCTCATAATCAAACGGTGGTTTTGGGACGTTAACCCCCACATATCAATCAATCAAATCTGCTTCGAATCTAGTTTTGTAATAATTTCTATGGGAAGGGTACGAAACAATACAATGCAGAATATAGGTGCTCCCATATTTAAGTACATAATTTGCACAGTGTTCTGTTGAATTTTTGAATTATTTTATTACTACTAGCATCTGTTCGGCAAGTGTAATACGACATTATATACTATCTTGCACATATAAACTGCCATAGAAAAGCTTTGTGTAGTGTAAGTAATTATGTATTCTAAAATAAAGTATACATACTACTGCATGGCTTCGGTTTTTGTGCTGTTTGTCGGTCATCAGCTCCACAATGTGAACAGACTTCGTGCTTCCAGTAAATAGTAGGACTGTCTTGTGTTCTATGATGATCTTGGAATCACCTGGCCAAGGCTAGCTGTGTTGCGCCACATGAAGTTGTGGTTTGTGCAAAAGAATATGACATACCACAGAGGGATATACATAAGTGACTAAACTTACTCATGAGTCAATTAACTCAATTTCAGATCAAGCAGCAAGTCAGAGTCGGAGTAAGTTTGGGTGAGTAACATTTTTGGAAGTTTTCGTGGAAGAGTCTGGTTCAGAAATAGTTGGGGGATGAGTTCAAGCCAGCCATAGGCACAAAATATATTTCGTGAGTGAGCATGCATGAGCTCCACTCTTCTTACCACTTATGGCCCTATCTACTCAACTTTATTGCTATCAGTCTTATTTCGGGTTATGTTCATGCTTGTGCCTACCCACAGGTTTCAATGCATGACAGTTTATTCTCCATCTAAATACCTGTTGATAAGAGGCGTAGGTTACGGTAATGGGTCTTTGGCCTTAACCCACAATCTCTTTCACAGGACGTTATTTTCATAAAATTAACGCATGTGAGTGGCCTTTCAATAAAAACGTCCTAACTGAATTGCTAATAATAACTCATATTAAAAGCTACGAGGTCTAAATAAACTAAGGAGGGCACCAATAATGGTAAATATTAGCATTGAAGGAGTAAAACTAATTTCGACAGTTTTATTACTGTTGCTTCTAAAAATTTATACTTGTTTGGAGTGTAGTTAGTATATCTTAATTACCACTACGCAAAGGAATTGTTTGATTTTGATATGGAGGTCGTGGTATTATAGTGATACGTAAACAGTGTGGCATATGTCTAAGACACAAGGGGATAGTAACACGCACTGAGTAGATCGCAGTGGGTTAATTGTACGTGTTGTATGCAAGCAGTTTGGGGGGAAAGAACATGCAGGTGCTTCAAGAGCAATTATGGTTGCACACAGACACAGAGTTCGCAAATAACGTGAGCAGACACAGAGTTTGCAACTAACGTGTTCTATCTCAATGTGACAAGCTCTATTACCGGGGTTGTCATACGGATTCCGGTAATTTAACAAATCTTGGGGAACGATGCAGGTATGCCACAATGCATTAAAAAAGTACTGCAAGAAGCATGACATTATGCTTTCCATAATGTGGCTGGGCTTCAATCAGCTGCATGGGACAAGATGACTTTGCTATTTGTTTGTCAAGGGCCTAGCGTACTCTCCAGGGCAACAAAGCTCCATTATGAAACCAAATTTTGTTATAAGTGTTTCCTGATTTCTTCGTTAATTTTGATTGTTAACAATAAATGCCAAGGAAACTAAAGAGCATTGAAAATATGGTAACAAAAGTTAACTATAAGTTAACGTACTCATGAGTCAACTCACTAAACATGATTAAGCCATGAGTCTGAGAGCGACTGGCTGAGTAAAATTTTGGTGAGTTTTAGTACAAGTGAGTCTGGTTGAGGAAAATATTGAGAAGTGTGAGTTCCAGTGCACTTCGTTGAAGAAAATTCTTTTTCCAAGCCCCAAGAGAAAAATTCGCCTGAATTTACAAGCTACACTGTAAATGTCGTCGAAAGACGATAGTCTTGCGTCTGGAGAGAGTGAACAAAACGTTTATTTGATGTTCTGCGCAAGAAAATCGGTGAATAGTGTTCTGCAGGCGCTGCGTTAGAGTGCCTCGAGCGTGTGGCGGAGGTGAGCGAGCGCATCTAGGCACGTTAGACACAAGTGCCATCTGGCATTTATTTTCGAAAACGAAGGCGTGCAGCCTGCGGAGAAAGGTGCGCGCCAGTCTCGGGAGTGATAAGGTGTAGAAGGCAAAGCGACGGGCAGGCGCCACCACCTTGACGTCGTAGCAAAGCGTTGGAAAAACCTTTTTAAGGGTCGCGTTGCACTGTCAGCACAGCGCGATTAAACACTATATTCCTTAGAGTTACTTGTGTGTGCCTCTTCTGGTGTAAAGGCAGACATAGAAAACATCGAAGCATTGTTGTGGCGCCTCAGATATGCGCAATAATTGCTTTTTAATTGACAATCGCACAACTATGAACGCTAAACCTTGAGCAATATTGTTGGCATGATATATATATATATATATATATATATATATATATATATATATATATATATATATATATATATATATATATATATATATATATATATATATATATATATATATATATATACGGAAATGTTGTAGGCCCGTGTGCTCAGATTTGGGTGCACGTTAAAGAACCCCAGGTGGTCTAAATTTCCGGAGCCCTCCACTACGGCGTCTCTCATAATCATAGAGTGGTTTTGGGACGTTAAACCCCACATATCAATCAATCAATATATATATATATATATATATATATATATATATATATATATATATATATATAATCTGCCTATCACAGAAACATCATAAAAAACATCTCAGATAAAAAATACTTGAATTATTTCATTAGTTAGTTATTCTAAGCCCATTTGTATAAATGAACATTTTATAAGATGAACAATATTTTTCCAACCAGTTATAGGTACCTGATTCCCCATAGACCAGGGAAAATTCTAAAGGCACTAGCTCAGAAATTGGCTTACCTTGCCTTCAACGTCGAATAGAGCTATTTCATCAATTGCAAAACATTCGAATTTTTTATATCTATGTGAAATTTGTTTGTTTATTGAAATTCCACACAAAAATGAACTATGTACAGCATGTGATGCCTCATCGGAAGACGTCATATGGCGCATCTCTGCTGTGCTTCAGCTGCTTGCTTGAAGAGTGCAGCTAGCAGCCTAGTACTTGAGGTTATGTATTGTAGCAGACGGGTCATTTGACCACAAAAATCACTTTTATCAAAGTTTGGCTGAAGAGTGATGAACTTGGTCACCTCCTATATTTATTACTGCAATGTGAGCGTCCGGTTGATGTTCTTTCGTTGCATGTTTCCCTCGGCCAGTAAGTCCTTCAAACACCATCTTATCCAGTGCTGCCGTCGGTGCTTCGCACATGAGGAAAGCCGGGTACGCCAACAGGCAACTCCAGATGAACACACCGAAAAATAGGGTCACCTGATCAAATTCGAACAAAATTAGTTTCGTCATGTTCAGGTATATTGAGAACTGTTTCATATTACAAAAACTCTTGACATATTCAACGTTAATTCACAAGTAAGAGGAAAAAAGACGAAATAACACTCAAGGCAGTTTAAGTGGAGCATCTCTTTTTTTTAATTTAAATGTATATAAGGAGAGGTTGGTGCCAATGCGTGGCGCCCGCTACTCCACTTCTCTTGCACAAAAGTCGACATCGCACATTTTGTAGCAACCACAAGGCTATACTTATGTACATAGCACAACACTTGCACAATGAGGTCATGTTTTCCCCACTGAGTGTCCACACCACACAGAAATGTGTCCACACTACATATAAATGTGTCCACACTACATATAAATGTGTCCGCACCACACTGAGTTTGTAAAAACTCAAGTAATCACGCCAAATTAGGTGTTCACACAAAACGTGTAAGTTCAATAAAATATCTAAGATGATCTTGTTGTTTAAATACTGAACTGTTTTCAGAAAAGTTTCCCCAAAAGTATCGTAGTGAAACACGAAAAAACTGTTTTGAAACATACCGCGGTTAACAGTAAAGTACATTTGTTTTTTGCTAAGTACTTTTGAGCTATTTCTGGTTCTTCCAGAAAATGAATGACTGCACGCGCTGCAGTGCCTTGTAGCTTTCCTTTTGGCCATGAACCCAAGATTTTTGCAATTGATGGAAGTCGTTTATCCAAAGAACTGAGTTTTTTAAACAGGTTTTTTCGAGCTACGTCATGATTTTTATAATGCAGAAGAATGTGCTGCACGTATTCTTGAGCTTCTTCACATGAGCAGGTAGGACTGATAGCTTTCCTTACTCTATACAGGAAGGGCTTCGTGTAGGCTGTACCAAGTCGTAAGCAATGGATGACTGTTTCTACCGATCGGCTAACTTTTAAGGGATTATTAAATTCTATACCAGAATCAATGTTATACAACAGAGAGTTTCGCGCACCATTTTCGAACCAGGCTTTTTGAGACAGTTGACAGCTCAGCTTATTTATTAGACACCGTGCATCGCTCATCGATAGAGGTAGCAGTGATATAATATTTTCTTGATGTCCCGCATGTGCAATATGATCAGCTATGTCGTTTCCTGTGATTCTACAGTGGCTTGGCTCCCACTGAACATTATGGTCTGGTTTAAATCTTTTGCTATAGCATACCTCCTCTGTATTTCATATGCGAGCTCACTATCTGTGTTGCTCAAGCTGATTTCTTTAAAAAAAAAACTAATGAGGACTGTGAGTCACTGATAACTACCCATAGAAGTGGACCTGGCTGTAAATATATGAAGCTTAAAGCATGGAGTATTGCATAGAGCTCAGCCGTTGTGTATGTTGTGAAATGGCTGAGTTTTAAAGCTTTTCTCGCTTGGTATGCAGGTACAAAGAATGCCGACGTAGAGCTTTGATTCAGACATGATCCGTCGGTGTACACGTGAATATAGTCTTCATAATTGGTATAATGGTGTGTTGAAGTTACTTTGCTCTATTGTAAATATGGGCATATCATTCTTACTATTTCATCCCGCAAAAAAAGTTGTAATATCTGGGATAGAGAGTAGTCATGGTGAGTGGGATGCACATGGAGGCCAGTATTCCTGCGTAGGCAGTAAACTCTTGAAATCTACCGTAGTTTTAGGTATTCTTGCAGCTGATCTCTCCAGAATAGCTCGGTATAGGGGATGAATAGCGTGTTGAGTTGCCAACCGAAGATAATGCCGGCAACTTTCCGTAAATCTCATAGCATTTAAAGTCGGCTGACGAGACTCCGCAATTACTAAAGCATTGGCAGACACTCGTGGTACACCAAGACATATACGAAAGCTTCTGGCCAACAATCTTTGAGTACCCTTCTCTAAGTTGCTTGATATCCCATGTAAACCCGGGGCAGAGTAAGCTATTCTTTGTCGAATGATTGCTGAATGTACACGCAATAAAGAAGAGCATGAACTACCCCATCTCACTCCGGCCAGTCGACGCAATATATTGATTAGGGAGTTGACTTCGTCCTCTAATGATTTTATATATGTTGCCCAAGGCAGACGTCTGTCTAAAATAACCCCTAAAAATTTCTGCTGTCGCGCAAGTTATAAGCGCTGAGAAACTATCTGAAGTTTAAATTTTTTAGGGCATTCAATTCTGAATGGAAGTACACATGTTTTCTCATAAGGAATAATCTTCCCTCTGCTCTTAAATAAATCACTGATTATTGTCAGCCTATCTTGAAGCTTTTGCTGAACTGCTTGAATGCTCGTGTCTGATGCCGAAATGAACAGATCGTCTGCATATATGGAATATTTCAAACAAGTAAGATATTGGACATTTTAGCCATAACACATATAAATGAATATGGGCTTAGTACGCTACCTTGTGGAACTCCTTGACTAACTTCATGCTCTTTACTTTTACCGCCAGCTGTGTCAATGAACATTTTCCTGCCTCGTAAGAATTCTACAATCCATCTTAGTGTTCTGCCTACTATTCCCAACTGAATTAAACCATGTAGTACATGAGCGTGGCTGGTTGCGTCAAATGCTCGCTTTATATCTAGAAATACTGCAACGACGATTCTTCTACAGCTCCTCTGATGATATACATGTTACATTGTCTAGAATGGTATTCATGGGGCAGCGGAGTTTGCGAAAACCTGTCATATTTTCTGGAAGCACGTTCGTACATTACACTCAGCACTGAAGCCTTGCGTCTATCATCTTTTCTATAAGTTTACAAACACAGCTAGTCAGGCTGACAGGGCGGAAAGAATCTGTGGGTAGAGGCGTTTTTCCGGGTTTGAGAATTGGGACCACTCTTGCAACTTTCCAGGAGGGTGGAAGGCATTATGTTTTCCAAGCATCATTAAATATCTTCAACAAAGTATATGTGGCCACAGGACCCAGGTTTTTTAAAGCTGCATATGTTATCAAATCAGAACCAGCTGCTGCCCTTGGTCGGCACCTTGCAAAAGTGTTATTTCATTCTTGCAATGAAAACGGATCATCTAGGTCATCATGAGGTCTATTGAGAGAAAACGGAATCAATGCTTTAATATCCCCAACAGACTTAATGTATTCAGGCGAGTGCCCGGCTGCACGTGGTCGTGTAATATGCTGACAAAATTCATCCGCAACGGTCCTTTCCGGTACGTTCTTCACTAAAGCTAAGGCTCTAAGTGGTTGTTGATGTGTTACTGTCCCACTTGAAAAGCGTAGAGCATTCCATAATTTGAACTCTGGTGTAAGTGGCGTTAGCAAAGTGCAGAATTCCTGCCAGCGCTTTGTGACTAGTCTATCCAGTTGTCGTCTCATGGGGTCATGCGTTTCTCGACAGTCGCGGTAATCTTCAAGTAGACCCGTGCGTCTGTATTTTCTTTCAGCTCTGCGGCGTATGGCCCTAATTCTTACGTATCTAGCGTCTACTCCAGCGTAACCTTCAGGAATTTTAACGAACTTGGAACACTGATTTAATTTGTTTTCTATGAGTCATACTAAGCTGTCAGTGTTAGCAATAGTGTCCACTTGGTGTGATATATAATAACAATATGCTTGCCAGTTAGTTGGCTTTGCTGAGGGCCTATATTTAGAAAAGCGTAGTTTTGGATGCTGTATTAGGATAGGTAAATGATCACTGCCCCTTGCTTCAATGTCTGTTCGCCATGAAGCCCCAGATACAATATCATGTGAGCCGAGCATGAGGTTTCGGCAACTCGAGTAATTGAAACCTCGTAGGAACGTCACTGAACCATCATTTAACAAGCACAATGAACTATCCTGAATTGCTTTTTGTAGGTCCTTTCTGCGACGATCGCCGTATGCACTTCCCCACATGGCATTGTGAGCATCGAAATCTCCGCAATATATCACAGCTTTCGTGTACGTCTGGAAAAGTGCTGTGAATGCAGAAAGCGAGATATTTGTAGAAGGCTGGAGATAAACGCTGACTACTGTTATATTTACTCGACCAAATCTAATCTCACATGCTGCATACTCTGGGTAATCCGATGATGTAGCATTCAACTGCACTGATGGCAGATCTTTTCTCACACGTATCATCCCTCTGCTCGGTCCTGTAGATCTAGAGCACATATACACAACGTAGTTCGATAACCGAAAAGTAGTGTCTACCCCGGCCTCTATATTACATAACACTCGAAAGGAGCTCTGAGTCACAAATTTTCTGAAGTCTGCACACTTAGCGCGAATACTATTCGCATTCCATTGGAAGAATCGCGACATTTTGATAACAATTATTCATGTCTTGCCTGCGCAGTGACTGTTGTGGCTAATTGTAATACTACCTGTTCCATCGACAAGATGGCTTTGACCTCAGGAAGGTTGTTAGCCTGTGGGATCGCGGCTAGTTTGGCTTTTAAAGCCGAGAATAACATTGGTATGAAAAGATGAGCTGTCAACACAGACGAGTTTTCTGGTTGTGTTACACTTACTGGACGCGATGTGCTCATGCTTTCTCGGATGTGAACCACGTGGTTACTTTTCTGTTGAAGTCCCTCCTGAGACTCTTGTCGAGCTTGCTGCTGGCTTGTTGGTGTTCCCGCACTTTTCCCTTGCTTTCGTTGTCCTCTTGCAGCTTGCGCGTACGTCATTACAGGATCCTGGCGTTTAGGTGCTGGCGGTCGTGGAGGCCGTCCAGGGTTCATGGTGTTCATGTTGGGCTAAGGCGCGTCATGCTGTTGCGTGTGACCGTAGATGATGTCACGTTGATATTGAAGAGAAGCCGCCTTGTTCTGCGGGCATCCAGAGAACGAAGCAGCATGGGGCCCCTTGCAATTGGCACACTTAGGTTGTGTTATTTATTTGCAGTCCTTGTGATGGTGGTCTTCGGCGCATATTTTTCAGCGCCTTGTTCTTCGGCAGTTTTTCGCCAAATGTCCAAACCTCTGACAATAATAGCAGCGTCATGCTGGGCCCAGATATTCCTACACTGGATCGCTTGTAAATCGAAGGAAT